GGGGGGGGGAAAGAATCAGGACAGTATGATCTTGTTCTTTTCTTTCAGAGAACTTGTCGTAGAGATGGATTGCAAAGGTGGCCTGATGAAGCCGCCCCCAATTTATCAATTTCCGACACTCGTGGTTGTTCCGGTTACCATTTCTCGCGTGGAATGCGGTCGACTAAACACCAAACGTTACACTAGCCAGAGAGAACTCAGCCTTTGTCTTAGGTTGGCTAAGCCTGATTCCAAAGTTCATTATTATACTCGGTACATCACCGGACATTCGCCACGAACGACGTCGTGCCTAAACACCCGGCTGTGAACAAGACCGCCAAGGGGAACTTTTCATGTCTTGGCAAGTTATCCACTCTTTTCAATCCCACCATCGAGCTCTTGAAGCAACTAGGTTCAAAGCCAGGTTATTCGGACGCAATAATAGGGTAACTGCAGCGCTCTTGGTAGGCGTCCCTGTTAGAAATCCGCGCATGACCAGTGCTATCTTGGTGACAGGGGGCGGGAGTGCCGAGGCAGGTGGAAGACGCATTTGTTAAAATGTTCTCCAGGCACAAAAAAGGTTTCCTCGCCTCCCCACAATGCAAAACTCAGACCGCTTGGTATCCCTTCCTTACTCTTGAATATTATGTATCTTTGGCACCTTATCCTGTCTGCAATTGTACCGATCCCGTCGGCTTTGAGGTGACGCTGTCCCAAAAAATGAAGAAGAAAAAGAAGAGAAGAGAAAAAGAAAAAATCGCTTGAACGTCGTATCACCTTCCCCCAATAACGTTCTAGCCGCACCACCTCAACAACAGCTTTCAAACCTTACCGCAGCTCTCCCCTATCCCGCTTCTCCGGCCTCTGGGACTTGGGGGCTCAGAAAACCACAACATGAGAAGCACGGAACATTTTCTATGAGGCCATGTCTTCGGCCTGCATTCGTGCCCCAGGCGACGTGGCAAAGCTAAGAGCGTTGTTTCGATAAGAGACACCGCTAACGGAATCAGCACCGATTGGGCGACATAAGAGACTTTGCATGGGCAAAGCACGCCTAGACCTCCCTCCCGGTCAACGGCCGTCTCTAGGCTAGAACACAGCGAGGATGGTGCTATCTGCAATGTACTCTGTATATGATATGAAGGGGAGTCTTCGCCGAGATCTTGCATTCGCAGGCTCTAAAAGCTCACTCCTCGTGTCAAGTCTTCAAGCCCATGCGTATACAAATCTTCGGTTCCGAACTCTCGAGCGTAACCTGATTGTGTGGGGTCTGGATCCCCAGTGGTGGAAGTCGAGAAGGACTGTCGCGCGAGGTATGTGCCCAAAGAGACCTAAAGTTTCGTGTTGGAGGCTTTGACGAGACGCGGAATACTGACGACATATGAGTCGTCGCTTTACACCATACTACCGGAAGAAGACAGCGGTTGACTCAACGGTCTTTTTTGTTGGCCGTGTAGAACCAGCTGGTAAAGATAGTGAAACATACTCTGGAAGTCGAACGAGGGGAAGAAGCTCCATCTCCGCCACCCCTGTGCCCGGAGAAAGATCTACCGAATTGGGTTAAAAGGCCTTCATTGCCCGCAGTACCATGGTTTACCACAGATTGGTCTCGGAGCTTGAAAATTTGGCGCAGCCTTTGGTATGTCCGTCGTCGGAGTCGTCAGAACCGCTCTATAGCGGCGACCGTGACCGGAGCTGGGCGTTGCTTTTCAGCGACAGCTCGCTAGAAAGATGGTCAGAGTATGAGAAGATCGGCTGCCCAACATACTCTAAATCTACCTCGGAACCCATTCAAGATTCAACCCTAAATTTGTCGGGAAATCCGATCCCTCTCCCCACCGGCTCAAGAGACCATGAGCCCTCGACGAAATGGATGGCAAGGTGCTTCGCCGCCTCTATCTATCTACGAAGAGACGACCAGACGCTATCGCAACAAAGTCTAGCCGATGCGGACGCAGAGTTTGAGAAGATGCTCACCCCACAACAAGATCCTAAAGTTCTATTGGCGCTCAACCAGACATTACAGATCCTCCACATGCACGATCAAGGGGACATCACCAGGGGGATCATGCAGAGTGCGTATCTGGTGGCGGAACGGCTACTGGAGCCGGGTCACCCGCTCAGGACCATTGTGCGGTGGATGGTCTACGTGGCGAACGGACAGATGCGGAACCACGACATCACGAGCGAAACGCTCGCCGGGGTGCACGAGCACTTCGTCCAGCACTATGGCGACAAAGATGCCCAGTCTATCGCGTCCAAGTATTGCTATGGGTTCATGTTAAACGTGGAGTCGAGGTACCAAGAAGCCGAGCAGGTTTTGCGCGAGGTCTACAAGAATTCGGTGACGGTGCTGGGGCCCAAACACTTACAGTCTATCTCGGCATCGACGAATCTACATCGCGCTCTGGAGCGTCAGGGTAGGATTGAAGATGCGATTTTAGTCCTCAGAGGCGCGATACGGTATTTGAAGGATACGCTAGGCGACAATCACCCAAGAACACTTGAAAGTTTGCGGTTATTAGGCGGGCTTTGTCAGAAGCAAGGGCATCTAGACCAGACCGAGGAGCTATTCTGGCAAGTTCTCAAAGGACGTGCCGAAATGTTGGGCCCGGACCATCCATTTACTCTAGGGATGAGGTCTGACCTGGAAGAATTGCTCAAGGGGAGAGGGAAGTGGGCCAATGAGGGGGGAGGGGGGGAGGGGGGGGGAGGGTTGCAAACGATGATTGAGAATCTCCGTCTAGATTAATCCAGCCTACTGCGCAAATCAGGGCGGGAATGCCTGCCATCTCGATACATAAATCACGGCGCTCCCGTCTTAGCTGAAGAAGTACGAGCAGGAAGCGGGGGAAGGCTTCCTACCCCCGAAAACAAAACAAACTTGTCCACGGTATGGAACGTGGTGGGTTCTGCATCAGAACGATTCTTGGCTGCCCATGCTCATGCCGTTTGGCGACGCAAGCGGGTGGCGAGTATTTTTTTTTTT